CTAGGTCCTAAAGACCTAGCAAAATCAAACTATGGCATGTACTTTCGTGCCTTGGGGTAGGGGCGGGGTGCAGATGGTTGACACGTGGGGTCACCATGAAGCAGAATCAACTTGAAGACACTAACATCACCACCATCATGGGCTTTTGGGATGTTAGGGTGACTGCTGGTCCTGGGCATTGCTCAGTGGGTGTGTGAGGGCATCCCACTTGCCTCTGGGGAAGGGTCTCTTCAGCTGAAGAGGATGACTCCTTCTCCATTTATCAGTCAAGAAGGAACAGAGGGAGAAAAAAAATCTCCTGAATATTGCCTTCTGCTTGACCCAAACTGAAAGACATCTCAGAGTAAGTTATTGTTGCTCTTTATTGAATGGTGACCGAGTGCCAGAGAAAAGTGCCAAGTACTTGTACAGTGCAATAATGCAATGGAGAAGGTGTAACTATGCCCGCAGGAGCAGGCGCTGGGAGCTCAACTCTTTTTTCTCAAGGTATGGAGCTCCTAAGCAGCTGAGTGAGGACTCAAACCCAAGCACAGCTCTGCCACGCAATGCCATGGCGCCTCTGATAACTTATTCACAGCACGGAGCACACACATCACCTGTCTCCTGGATTCCAGGATCACTGAGAAGCGAAATAATGACTCCCAGGATGCTGTGCACATCCTTCCAATTCCTCATCAATTTTTCAGCCTGTCTGAGGTAGGTCCAGAAGGCCCAACTCACATCTCCAGCATAAAACTGGCTTTCTGACCACCCACTAGATTGCTACTGTTGTTAGATGCCATTGAGTCGACTGCAATTCATAGCCATTCCATGAACAAGAGCGTGGAACTATGTCTAGTCCTGTGCCATTGTCATAATTTCTGTCATGCTTGAGCCCCGTCTCAGTCACTGTGTTGATCTTTCTGGTTGCGGGCCTTCCCAGCATGGTATCTTTTTTCAATCTGGCATGAAAATCATACTTAAGTCTTATTCCCCTTCCATCCCCAGATACTAGTAAGAAAAAGTATGCTTTACCAAACGAACTTTATAGATGATAGTTTTGCCCTAATAACAATCAATATATAGAAATCTAATAACTCAATCCCTCCAATAAGGTTGGCTCAGGATAGAGAAAGCTTCAGAGCTGTTGTACACGGGGTCGCTATGAGTCGCAGGCGGCTCGACGGCACTTAACACACACACATACACACACATACATACACACACACACACACACACACACACACACACACACACACACACACACACACTGTTTCTCATATGCCATAAGGTATGCTAGTCTCCACAAAGGTTAAAATTTTTTTTCACAGAAATTCACAAAAGACTGGGTTGACAGCAGTGCTTCCTAACCGAAAGTTCCTTTTATTTTCTCTCCACAAATTTCAGAAAGTGCTGTGATGATAGCTACTTGCTGGGAGAAACCAGCCTTTCTCTCTGATATTCAGCCCAATGGAGGGTACTGATTCCTGGGTTCTGGGGCCTTCTGACCACTGACTAGGTTCTGGGGTTCCCTGGCAGGATCCCTGGCATAAGTGAGCTCAGAAGTCAAAATAATCACAGAACTTCATGCAATCTGAAGTTTTCCTATCCTTGCTCCCCCACCTGGCAGAATTGCTACATCAAGTGCTAAGTGTACCAAGAGTGAAGAACGGCTTTATCATCCGGTGAAGAGCTTCTGATCGGCCCCACAAGCTAGTTTGCATTTTTAGGATGCGGTTTGGGAAGGACTGAGGTGCACGGATGCGGAAGATGGGAGGAGTGTAGCACATAGAATACCTAAGAAGGAGAAAGACAATGCTCACTCTGTTTTGTTTTTTTCACTCTGGGGTGAGAGCACAAACATGGATCACAACCAAAGACCCCGAAGCCAGAAGTGAAGACTAAAAGAATTCAAAGGTAGAGAACTTCAAAATATGACTGTCAAACAGCAACTGAATCTCTAGCTCTTAAGATGATTGTACTGAGCTCAGTCCATTCACCAATGGCCAGAATTGCTGTTCTGACCACAAAAGACACTCTTTTCTGGATCTTTATTCATTCCTTGAACACTTGCTATTTGCAAGAACCTGGCAGGAGCCAGCACCTTCCCAGACACTCTTTAGCTGGCGTTCCCTAAAAGCATGCTGCCATCTTCAATCGTCTGGCTGGATAACTGTTAGGCACACGGCTAGCCTCTGTCCCAGGGCTCACTCCACTCCAAATATCCAGAGAAGAAGTTTTATTTAATTCTGTGGGAGCCCTTGAATATATGCCTTATTGAAGTCCCCCTTTGAAAATTACAAGCTGAAGCCACATCTAACAGCTATGACGTTCTCTGGATCCCATGCACATCCTAAAAATGGAAAATTCTTTTCATGGTCACAGAACTAATAAAAAAATATGACTTCATATGAAATGCCTCAACTTTTATTTTCTCCCCCCACCCCCGAGTGTGTGTATGTATGTGTATTAGGAAATTAAATGACCTCAGATGTTTATGAAAAAGGTCTTTATGTTTATAGTGTTCTATAAACACTGGACATGCTCTGAAGAGATTCTTTTACATCACAAGAAATGATAGTTTCTTGAGGGCCACAGCCCTCCTCTCTCCTGTGAGATTTGCTTTTAATTTCAAATTTAACTCTAGCTTTTCTAGCCCTCCCCCCGCCCCCTTCCAGTAGCAGGGTCAAAATTGGGCTCTTAAATATTTATGTTCTTCCTCGTTTTTCCTTAGCTACAGGAAAAAAAAACCAAACAAAAAAACCAAGTGCTGGTTTCCTGCCCCTAGTGGTTATATAAATGACTCGTGGGTGTGACCATCTTACATGAGTCACTCAGTCAGTCAACAAACAGCCCTACTATGAGCTAGGAAGGGTCAAAGAATTCTGGAAAAGCTGAAGTGGTCTCATTCCTATGAAAGACCACAGGCCCAATCTTCACGTAGCCACACACGTAAAGCGGAGCAGGGAACACTCTGAAATGGCCTCAAGTCCCTGCTAGGAGAACTAGCCCTTCACTTTCTACCTGGTCCTCAAGGAACTGTCTGACATTAACACAATGGCTGCAGATTCTAATTCCACCAAGATTTGCCTCTGCACCTCCTGCGTACAGTGCGGCTGGGAGTGTGTGTGTCCTTGGACCCTGGGATACCTTGCCAGGAGCAGGGCTGAGTCTAGGGCCTGAAGTTGCTGTGAGCTCCTATGTTTTGGGACAAACTGGAAGAATTGTGTTTCTTCTCTGGTATGTTCTGCAGCCATGAAAACTCTTTTTATGGGCAAATGAACCTGCTTCATGATGGCCACTGGCTCTGCCATCTGATGTTCAGGGCTGTCTGTGATCAGGCTCTGGCCTCTGAACCACTCTGCCTTCTCCAATCAGCCTCACTGAACATGTTTAAAGCAGATGTGCTCACAGCTGTCCCAGCCTCCAGCCCCACTGCTCATGCAACCGTGTCTGGACATCCTTCCTCCTCACCTCTCCGCTATTCCAAATCCTGAATAATATCCTCTAAAGCTTATTAGAAATGTCACAACCTCTACAAAGGCATCTCTTATTTCTCCCTGCAAACACAAAGTCTCTTTCTTCTCTGAATTCCCACAGCCATTATCTGTCTACATCTTGTTTATCTACATTTGGATTTGAGTCATCTCTCTTTATTTGTTCTCATCTGTATAAATCGAAGAGGTGCCAGTAGTCAGGGTTTGGGTCTAGCTGCTGGTCGTATTTCTACCATCTAGTCTAGGACCTCCTGGCGTCTAGATTGGATGTGTGCTCCACTCCTCAGGGCTCCAGGGAATTATTAGGGGACAGACAGTGGGGATACAGAAAACAGGCAGGAAAGGCAAGGAGACATCTTCTCCCAAATTTGTACTTCACATATAGTTTCTGATCTGAATGTGTCTGTATACTGGGATTCATGCGGACATTTCGATAGTTCTTAAAGGGGTCTGCTGGGGCAAGGGGGGGAAAAAGGAATGTATTGAAAGATATATTGTCAAATAAAGGCAGAGAATGACACCCCAGTCCTCTACCACTGTCTCCCTTAGATGTAATGAAACCGCATGCTCAAAAATGAGTGTCAAAAGTTTTGAGTGGCTGTCAATCAAAGAACATAGTGAAAACAGAGTGTCTTGTCCTGGTCTTGTATTTTTCTACTAGAATTTGACAGAAGCCTCCTCAACCCCTCAATGGGTTATGCTTTTGGAATTAAAATGATGCCATCTAGACACATCTGTGTGCATGTGTGGGGAGTGTACATGTGAACGTGCCCCATATGCTTGGAAGTCAATGTAGTTTTGGGGTCCAGAAAAGGGTCATGAGTGATGCTGATGCCTCCTGACATTCACTCTGCTGCTTCAACCTCCGCATCACTGTAAATAGCACTAACATTCCTTCTCTCGCTCAGGTTAAAAATCGAATTCATCACTAAATATTTCGAGGGTCTACCTTAAAACATTCTGAAGTACTTTCTTTTCCCTGTGGCTGCTACTATCAGGTACTGTAGCCCAAGGAACTGTTACTTCATACCTACCTGCCTGGTCTCTGGCTTTACCCTCTTCCTCCTTCTAAACAATAGGAGCAATGGTGGGGGTGGGGGTGGGGGTTATGTGCCATCAGGTTGGAAGTGACTCATAGCTGACCCTCCAGCAGGTTTTCAGAGGCTGTGAAGTGCACTGTGAATTGTCCATTTCTTTCTCATTAAGCAGTTAGTGGATTTGAACCTCTAGCCTTTGTACTGGCAGCACAACTCTTTACTTACTAGACCACCAGAGCTTCCCATACACATAGTAATGTTTAAACTTCTCTTGCTAGAAGCTCTCAGTGTTTCTCATCAAATGTAGACTAAAATCTCTAATCAGTAAAAAAGAATGGAGCAAGCCTTTCTGTATCATTCCAAATTGTGAAATTATGCAGGTTCTGATATGCTAGTTAGGGGGTTTCCCTTTGCTCAAGAGAACTGTGAATGACTGAGCAGAGGGAAGAAAGACTGGCAGAGGACCCAAGAAATAGCAATGACTTACTGCTTCAGATTTGGGAGGCACTGGAGGTGGAGGTAGGGCGATATCAGAAGACTTCACTGCTGCTCCCAGAGGCCCAGGGATGGGAAGAGGAGAAGGGCCACATTTGGACCGGACAGAGCTTCTGAAGTTATCACACCTGCTCTTCTCGCTCAGGGAGCGTGTGAGTGGCTGATGGCTAGGCTTGCCTTCATCCAGCCACAGCTCCTCGTATGGAAGCTCCGACTTCCCAGGGATGCCTGTTGGCTCATCACCAGCTTCTGGGAAAAGGTAGTCGCTTCCACTATCACCGGAGTCCTGGTAGGGCAGGATGTCATTAGGGAAGGGGGCCCACTCTCCGCCCAGGTCTCTGCAGCCATGCAGGTTCACCTCGCTGTTGCCATGGAGATTGTTGCCATACACACAGACCGAGAGCCGGTGGAAGGACTGGGTGAGCTCATCGCGGGCATAGCTGAGGGAGTTGGGCACATGGTTGTGGCCGGAACACCGGCTCTTCTTGGGGCTCTTGCAGTCCTCATTCCAGTCCGTCTTCACATCCCGGACTGCTCGGGAATACTCATCGATGTCGAACTGCTCTTGGCAGATACCCAGCCAGTGATGGACCAGCGGCTCAGGCCAACCCTCACCCTTCACCAGGTGCTCCGGGAGGCTGAACTTGGGAACGGTCAAGTGCAAAGGGAAGTGCATGGGGAGGATCTTGTTGTTACGCAGCACGCAGCAAACCACCACCGTCTTGGTCTGGATGTTCACGAACTTGTAGCGGTGCCCCTCACGGATGAAGTGGAGGTCGTAGGGGTTTCTTGGCGGGGGGCTCGGCACGGTCACATTCACAGGCAGCCGGGTCTTCTCCACAATGTTGCGGATGGTGTGCTCACCCTCCTGCATCTGAAGCTCCAGGGGACTGCGGGTGCTGAACCTGCCCTTGCACTGGAACGGGAGGCTGATGCTCTCGTTGGTCCGGTGGTTCATGCAGATGAGGCAGGGCATCTTGCCTTTCCCTAGCTTGCTGATGGAGTTCAGCTTCCCGATCTTCTTGAAGATGGTGTTGAGTCTGGACTTCTCCTTGAAGGTCTTTGCATACAGGATCTCCGCCTGCCCCATCAGTGTGAGCTCGTCCCCCGTGCACAAGGTGATGTTGTACACTTCAGTGTCTTCATTGCATTCACCTGAAGCAACCTACGAAATGAGGAGAAAAAGAAATTCCCATTTTAGGTTCAGAACCTTCAGTCTATTCATACAAATGCACAAGAAGGTTGCCAGGAAGACAACCAGGAAAACGCTGTTCTATTTTAATACCAAATTTAAACTCCATTTCTAATATTCACATGGCTGATAAGGAATTCTGGTGGACTAGTAGTAAGAAGCTGTACTGCAATCCTGAAGGTACATCGGTCGAGGCCACCAACTGCTCAGTGGGAGAAGGATGGGCAATCTCCTCCCATGCAATTAACCGCCTCTGAAAACCCACCAGAGGGTCAGCTATGGGTCGGTTCTGACTCTATGATACACAACAACAACAACAATAGCAAGGAGCTCTGGTGGCTTAGTGAATAGGGAGTTGTGTTGCCAACCCAAAGGTTTGTGGTTCAAATCCACCAGCTGCTCCGCAGGGGAAAGGTGAGCCATCATCTCTTATGTGATTCACAGCCTCTGAAAACCTGCTGGAGGGTCAGCCTTGAGCCAGTTTCCACTCAGCAGGAAGAAGAAATCCTTTCTGTCTGAGATACTAGCTTAGATTTCAAAGAATAAGGTCCCTCTTCCTCCTCAGAGACAAAAAGAATCTATGTTCATTAACAACTATTGGGAAGCATGGAGAGAGAGAAAAACCAGCACTCAAGACTCAAAAACACTGTTGTTCCTGTTGCGTTCACCACCTAATTGTGGTGACTTCACGTATAAGGGAACGGAATGTTGCCCAGTCCTATGACATCCCCATCATTAGCTGCAGTGCAAACTACTGCTGCCTCATAGGGTTTTATTGGCTGCTTCTTTCCCCCCCTTCTTCGTCTTAGTCTATAGATCTGCTGAAACCATCATATCAACAAGCGGACAACTAATGACTGACAGGAGGTGGCTGTGCCTCAAGTGCACTGGCTGGGAACTGAACCCAGGTCTCGTGAACAGAAGGCAAGCATTGTTGCAATGACCCACCGATGCCCTCGATTCCTAGATGGCCATGTCTTTATTCCTACATATGTAGTTTATCCCATGGGTAATTATTTGGGAGATGAATATGATAATTTCCATTTTCCAGTTCTAAATAATTTTTCATAAATACTACTGTAAAAAAGACTTTGATTTAATATTTTACTACGTTCCTTCATGTTAGAATTGGAAGAAGCAATTTTAAAAACTTTAATTTCTTTCCTGTTATTTTATTTTCCAAATAGTTCCTGTCTTTGGGGTACTAGGTATTTGATATACTAGCAATCTTAAGAGACAAAATTTGAAATATTGTATTAGAGATACAAAACCTGAAAATAATCTATGCAATCCTAACATGACATCTCTAATAATTTTGAAAGGGAAAAAAACAAATGAAACTTATCAAATCTTGGAGATATATACAGTTATCTAAGTTTCTAATTATAGCTTATCTATCTATCCACTCATCATCATAAAGTCTGATTCTGAACTCATATATCCCAATACATATGAATATACCAATAAACTGACAGGTTTTAAAAAACTGTTTGGCAATTACAAATAATGCTGCCATACAACATTCTTCTAGGTTGTGTAACCCTGCTATGTCCACTTGCTGTACACAGGTAACTTGTGGTTGCTGTGATGCTAAACACTGTGACACTGATGAGTCAAATGCGAGAATAGTTCCCCATGGTGGACAGTGTTTGGTGAAGCTCTCCGATTAAAGCGAGCTTGGAAGCAGGAGTGGCATCCACTTCCATAACAGTTTGCCTCTGGAAACTCTATGAACCTGGAGAAAGGACGAAAGTTATACAGGAGGTGTCCAGGACTTTCGTTCATAGGGTCGCTATGAGTCACCTGCGACTCAATGGCACTTAACAACAACAACAACACTGCCATACATATTTAAATAAAGTTCAATCAAAATTTATAAATGTACTTTAAAAACATAATATATGTATTTCCTATTGTGCTTCATTGATTTATAAATCCTAATGGAGGGACGGTCCTTGGAGGAGGACATCATGCTTGGAAGGGTGAAGGGACAGTGCAGGAGAGGAAGACCCTGGATGAGATGGACTGATAGAGGAACTGAGGCAAGGAGGGTAGATGAGCCAGTGAGTCTGGCCCAGGACAAGGCAGGTTTCAGAGCTGTTATACCCAGGGTCACCATCAGTCGCAGGTGACTTGACATCACATAACAACAACAATGGTTCTACTGGCACTGCTGGCCTAGTGTTAAGAAACTGCACTGCAACCTCAAAGGCGGGCAGTTTGAATCTACCAGCTGCTCTGCAGGAGAAGGATGGACAATCTCCTCCTGTGTGATTTACTGTCTCTGAAAACCCACTGGAGGGTCAGCTATTGGTCGGCTCTGACTCGATGGTACAACAATAACAACAAAAACAATGGTTCTACTAGAACTTTGGGAAAACCCAGGTCCTCAGACCCTTGGTAGGTTTACTTCATATGTCTATGTGGAGTTCTGTTGGCCTAATGAGTAAGAAGTTGTGCTGCACACCCAAAGGCAGGTGGTTTGAATCCAGCATCTTACTGGTATTTAAGCTGGTTCTTCTTTATGGAGCGCTTGCTGCTGATTTCTCAGCGCTGACTATGCTTTGTTATGATTTTTATGTCTCATTATCTTACTGTAATAGATTACTTGTCATAGTCCTTCCCTTCCAAATGGATTCCTATGATTCCAAGGTAACCATCTCTTAGTAAATGATAGAAATTTTATATTTATTTACATTTATTTTTTTTATGTAGAGTTTTCAGTCTTTAGCCCCACTAGAATGGTGGCAGTAGTACATGGGAGGGTTCCTGTGTTTTTCTGAATTTTAATCTACATCATCAACTTTAATATAAACTGTGAGAAATTTTGTTGGTTTGAGACACACCCTTTATTATGTTAGTAATATTTCTTTCGAATAGCAGTTTTTAAAAGTCCCTATCAAGAAATTAAAATGTTTAAGATAAAATGTTATTTTCTATTGACAAGATGCTCTGGTGGTCTAGTGGTAGAGTTGGGCTGCCAATGGCAGCACAAAATTGTTTTAATGGCAAGTCAGAGCACTACAACTTAAAGTCCATGTGGTGTGATTAGGTTAAGTGTTGTCTTTATATCTACCTATCCATTAAGAAAACAAAGGCCTCAGTGTAAGTATTTTCAAAGTATTCACCTTGCCTTAGTAGAGATTCTGGACTTCTGTAGTATTATACACTTAGAAAATAAAGAAATTGAATAAACTAGATAACTTTGATATTTCACTTGTTAAGGTTGTTGGGACTTTATATCCACGCTGTGCACATTTATGGATTCAATCAACCATGAATCGAAAATGTTGTGTGTGTGTGGGTGTGTGTATTAAGCAACTGAGTGGTCAAAGCAACCTTTCAATGGCTAATTTTACATTGCATTAGGTAAAAGAAGTAATCTAGAGATGACTTCATTATACAAGAAGGCGTGCACAGGTTATGTGCAAATTTTATTCTATTATATATAAATGACATGCGTATTCACAGATTTTGGTTATCTGCGGAAGGTCTTAGGTCCAATTTCTCTTAGGTACCAAGAGATGACTGTAATTTCAGACTTACAGAAAAGTTATAAATGTGGCACAGAGTGTTCGTCTAGAATATGGTTCACTCACTTCTGGTTAACATCTTACAAAAGCATGGTATATTTATCAAAGCTAAGAAATTAAAGTCAGGACAACACTATTTAATAAAACAACAAGATTTGAGCAGCTTTCCCCCACTAATGTCCTTTTCCTGTTTCAGGATCAAATGAGGATACCACATTGTATTTTGTTCTCTAATCTGTGGACTTTGACTTATGTACTTTTAACTTGTTAGTTAAATTTGTGTCTTCTAGGCTGCAACAGTTCCTGATGCATCTTCAAGGATATGAACATGTACGGCTAAGCACAACTGATAACAGTGCATCTAAATTCCAAAATCAATCTCCGTAATAGTATATGTGTTTCCTACTGCCAAAGGGGCCCTTTAGAGTAGTGAGAGATCTTCACCCTGAAACCTACAGTGTCCCTTTTCAGCAAGAAGTAGCTAAGAGAATATGCCGTTCCCAACTGGACAATTAAAACAGACTTTCCAAGGGGTGGGGGGAAAGAGGAACGAACTGGGGAGGAGGATAGAGAAAATACTGCAACAATGAATGAATGGAAACCCAAAATCTCTGTAAAGCTTCATTAAAATTAATAAAATTTAATAAAAAAAGATTATAATAATTTTTTTCTCTCTCGAGTGAGCGCAATGTCCTTATAAAGATTCATTTGTTATTAACTCTAACTTTTGGGTTACTCCTAGGCCTTTTGCTTATCATAACATTTAGTTCAAGTTATAACTGTACAGATCAAGGGTCAGCAAGGGGCTGTGGTCCAAATCTGATCTGCCATCTAGTTTTGTAAAGAAAGTTTTATTGGAAGGTATACATTCCAATTTGTTTATGTTTACTTTGTGGCTATTTTCATGCTACAGTGTAAAAAAAATAGAGATTGTATGGACTGTAAAACTTAAAATGTGTGCTAATTTCTGGTTGGTATACATGAAGGGTATGAGCCAGCCAATGGCCTTTTACAAAGTGAATTGGGGGAGGGAGAAGGCAGGAAAATGTGCATCAATGAATGACCGAAAACCCAACGTTTCTGTAAACTGTCATTCAAACAGTGTAAAATAAAATAAAATAAAACCCCAAACCAACAATGAGCTCAAGTACATCAGTGAGGATGGCACAGGATAGGGCAAGGTTCAGATTGGTTTTTGTTGTTGTTATGCGCCATCAAGTCTCCTGCGACTCATACTGACTCTATGTACAACAGCCTTAAACCTTGCTCAATACTGTGCCAATCTTGTTGTCTCTGACACACCTTATCCTCATTTCCCTAGTCACTGGATCAATCCACCTCATCGAGGGTCTTCCTCTCCTGCACTTCCACCTTCCCAAGCATGACATCCCTATCCAAGGACTGATCCTACCTTGCAACATGTCCAAAGTATGTCAGATG